TTCCTCAGCGGCTGCCCTGGCTCGGCTCGCTCAGTCACTGGCTCAGTTACTTGGCTCCGGGAAGCGGCCCTGCAGCGCCCGGGGCGCGGCCGGAGGGGCAGAGGGGAGTGAGGAAGCGATTCGCCTCCTTTCCGCGCCATTTTAAGGCCCCCTTGTAACACCGAGAGGGGTCTCGTCGTAGAGATTTCTTGGGAGGGCGATATCCCAGCGGTTCCGGCCTCCTTCACTGAGGAAAAGCAGTACACATTTAGGAGAAGGATGCGTCCCTTGGGATGGCGGCGAGGGGAGGTTTTGTTGTTTTTCAGGGGAAGTCTGATTTTGGCCTCCGCCGAGCAGAAGCGGCTGTTGCAGGGGCCGAAGGGAGGAGCAGGAGGGCAGTGGTGCTGCGTGGCACCTCAGGACTTGGCAGGGCGGCACCATGTCATGTTCCTGGAACCGTACGCTCAGTGGACATAGGGAAAGTCTAGGGTTATGCGGTACTGTGCTTTGAACTTTTCTGTGCCAAAAATGCTAGCCTAAATCCTGTTGAGCATTAAAAAGGCTGTCAGAGCACCCTGAACTCTTGACAGGAGCTTCCTGTGGAGACGTAGTTATTCTCTGAGCTTGGCTACAGGCTGGGTCAAACATGAGGAGAAGCCATCAAGGTGGTAGACCAACAGCAATCCCCCTCAGCCTTGTGACATCCTTGGCTGGAGGGAATAGCTGCCTGCTACAGAACAGCCCAAAGAAGTGCAGATGGTTCTGTAATTCAGCTCTCCCTGTTAGGAGAGGTAGCGGAGCAGCGTATGTGCACTTTGCTTCTACTTTTCAGAGCCAGACTTTGGTAACTGGGCTTTCCCCTTCTATTTCTGTAAGCAGAAATCCATAGATGACAGCAGTTGTGAAATGCTTGACCACGCGTTCTGCCACACTGGAGCTCTGGTCCAACAAATGTTGTGCAATGCTTATCTGTAGGCAGTGGAGCAGCCCTGCTGGGTGCAACTTGGTGATCAGAATAAAACATGCTGCTTGCAGGAATCTGAGAGGAAGGCAACGTGAGCCACAGGAGAATTTGCTTAAAGGCCCCAAGAGCTTAATCCACTTCTGTCCCAAATCCTTCAGTCGGTGCAGATGGGGGGGATGACAGACGCCCTCAGTGGCCTCTCTCCTGTCTGGCTCTATAATCTGGTAATGCTAAAACCTTCAGAGTGATCAACTGTATGTCAGTACGTGAATGGCTTTAATTTAGTCACTTGGGAAAGAGTTCAAACCAAACTCTAGGAATGACAGTGTCCCTGGCAAAGGCTGGACAAAAATACTTTTATCTGTAGAACTGGTAAAATGTTTCCATACAGATGGAGTTTTTCTGCCTTCCGCTCTACCTTTTGTCTGCACCATGTATTTAGAGCCCTTGGAAAACAATCGGTTTTTATCATGTGTTTTCAGCTCCAAGCACAGTAGGACCCTGTCCTGGGTTACTCACCAGGCCCTACCAAAACAAAACATGACTCTCAGTACTAAAATGTCTGGGACAGGACAGTCAAAAGCCATGTGCTGCTCTGCCTTATGGAGAGCAACCCTATGGAAAACCCCCACAACCAGTCCCAGCTCTTGCATTCTGATGACATAGGAGGAAAGAAAAAAGAGAAGGTGGATCATACAGCAAATCTCTTTGGAGATTTGAGGAGAATCCTTCATTTTTGCAAGAAAAAAACAGTTAAAAGAATACTCACGGCAAGTCTTGGGCAGAAAGGAAATCACAAGGGTGGCTGGCTCAAGGGCAGAAAAACACTAAAAAACGCTTCACCGAGGACATGCTTCTAGTCATGTGTCAGCGGTAATATAGTTTCAAGTGAACATCTGTCCAGGAAGGTGACTGTCGGCGTAACACAGCAGCTGGGAGAGGTGCAAAGGACACCAGATCTGGGCTACTAAGCCACCTTGCTGTTGTAGTCAGTATACTTGCAAACAGGCAGACAGGCTACCTTTGCATCAGCGAGTGTGACCACTTCTCTGCAACACGTCATACCAGGCCGCCTGGTGCTCAGTGGCCAGCACGGAGCCACCAGGCCTGCAGCAGGGAGTGCAGGGACCAACAGTGAGCACAGAAGGAGGATTTATTTTGTACTAAGGTTAAGTTTAAAGCTGGTGGGAAGAGGTTTGAACTAGAAATGACAATACAGCAGGGCCCAAGCTATCCAGAAGAGTTGAAGAGTACACTGACAATGACTCCCCGACACAAGTGATCAAGGAGCTGATAAGGAAGGGTGGTCTTCTGGACCTCATACTTAGAAACAAGGAAGAACTGGTTGGGGACATGAAGGTGGGGCCAGCATTGGGTGCAGTGACTGTGAGGTGGTGGAGTTCAGGATCCTAAGAGGGGAGACTGGGGCAAAAGGCAGGAACACAACTCTGAATTTGAACAGCAGACTTCAGCCTCTTCAGAGATCTGCTTGTGATATGGTCGTGGAGAGCATAGGGGTCCAGAAGAGCTGGCTGGCTTCCAAAGATCACCTCCTCCAAGCTCAGGGAAGGTCCATCCCAACAAGTAGGAGATCAAGCACAGGCAGCAGGAGGGAGGCAGATTCTTCTCAGTAGTGCTCACTGACAGGATAAAAGGCACAAACTGAAACACATCAGATTCCACCTGAACTCAGGAAAACTTTTTTTTACCGTGAGGATGCTCAAAAACTGGAGTAGGTTGCCCAGAGAGGTTGTGGAGTCTCCCTTCATGGAGATATTCAAAACCCAAGCAGACACTGACCATGGCAACCTGCTCTAGCTCACCCTGCTTGACAGAGGTTGGACTAGATGATCACAAGAGGTCCCAGCCAACTTAATCGATTCTGTGAAATATTTCCCATCTGTCTTAAATGCAAAAAGAGACACAAAGCTTCAGAAAGCTTGATGTGTGGAGTAGGAAGGCAAGGTCACAAACTCTCTCTATCCGTAAGGGGCTGGGACTGTGCTGGGAAGACAGAGCTGGTCATCTTCTCTGTTATTATTGGGGAGATACACATTCCTTCCAGATTCATTTTAAGACAGTGTTTACAGTGTCTATTCTGCTACTGATGAACAATTTTGCTCTGTTTGTTTCACAAAGAGACACTTAAAATCTTGCTCATATTTTTTTAATCGTCATTCCAGTTGCCAACCCATGAGAGTGCCCTTGGTATTATCCAGCAGTGATTGAACGATTCCTATTTGCTGTGAAGGTGACCTGCAAAGCAAAACAGTTTTTTCTCCCCTACTTCTTTATAATGTATAAAGAAACCAGAATTATTATTAATTTATTTTGTTTTTCTAGCGTCTTCTTTCCTGCTTCTTTTTTAACCTCAGAACCGTAAGGCTATCAAGTTGCAGCTATGTGTGATGGGAGCACCAGCTTTCTGACTTCCTCGCTGGAGGTGCAGTCAGTCTTCTGCAAACAGGAGGAGCGCAGAGGGCTTTGATGCAGGTGTATCTTCAGCCACAAGAGCTTCCAGAAGACTCACAAATACCTTGTAACAATGGGTAGGCCTAAAAAGAAGTCCAGAAGCCACAACAGCAATATGCAATGGAAAGAGAGGAGAGATGCGTTGTCAGTATCTAGTGTTCCTGCAATAACCCGGTCTTAAAAAAAATGTTAATGAGCACTGACTGCTTGAGTGGGTCACACTGAGAGACAGCACCAAAACTTTGCTCATGCAGTTCACAGGAGCACCAGGGAGCATGTTGAATAAACTGTGACTGCAGCCAAAGCAGGAGCCTTTCCATTGCTGAGGGAGTTGAATGTCTGTGTGCCACTCAGTATCTTACCACACAAGCCAAATTTAGCCCGCAACGAATGTCTACAGCAAGGGTTCCACTGATGAAGTTAAACCCGTTTCCAAGCTCATTTGCTTGCTGCAGAACATTTTTCTTCTGTGTGGAAGATGCAAGTGTTCATAGGCTAAGACTCACAGGGAGGTTTCAGTCCAAAGCAAAATCAGGGTTGAATTGTTAAAAGAGTTCTCAGCAGTCGCAAGTCTGGCAGAAGTCCCATGCATCTCAGCAGGGCTGGGATTTCACCCTCTGGCTGTAATGGAGTTATGCCAGCAGAGACATTGGTCCAAACTCCCCTTTTTCTGTCAGTTGCTCAGCATTCAGTGCTACTGGAGTCCCAGAGTAGATCTTCCCACAAGAAATGTGCCAGCAAGAGCAAGAGCTGATGTTTAATATTTTATTGTACACAATGATTAAAAATGTACAGAAGCCTGCTAATGCCACCTTTAACCAAGCCTTACCAGGCCATTACCATACAACTGACAAGCTCCTAAATTAAGCTACAGGTGCAGTCAGCTGGTTTTTAACAGTGATGACACTTCAGCTCCCTGATGATACTTCAGTGCCCATTTAACAAGCTGGCAGCCAGTCTGGCATTCTGGAAACCCCAGAAAACAGTGGTTTGGTGCCTTCAGCATCTCTTGAGCACACCATATTCATCCATCGGGGTCAGGATTTCCCCAAGGAAATATGAATGATGTTGGGGAAGCCACACAGGCTTGAGAGGAACTTCAGCCAGAAGTCAGTGGGA